CATTAGTATTGAATTAGGATTAGTATTAAATATTCTAATTCAATACTCATGTAAAATATTAAATTATTTTTGTAATTTTAATACAAAAGTATTAAAATTATTACTAAATAATGCAACGCTAATACTAAGTCAATACCTCTAATCTTTGGCTTTTCTATCATAGTTATTATAACGTGCCTCAAATTTTATAGCTATTCCTACATAGAGAGACGTGAATAGAAACGAGTGCATTTTATTATCGAGCAGCTAATGGCAATTATCTGTCTCAGGTATCTCTGTTGTGACATAAAGCTGCCAGAAGCATTCATCCAAAGAAGTCAGGAACAAATGATGTTGTCAAACAGTGCGCATTAGAGAAAATATTTTTTATATTTGCTTGTGTTAGTATTAGCTGAAGAGCATCGACTGTCTTTTAATTTATAATTTAAGAGAAAAATTACGACAGTTTCATTGATGAAAGAGCTACTATATCTGCACAGATCAGATACTTAGACGGTAAGATTTCATTTTTTTTCGATTATATCACAGATGCTTGAGTTTCCTTTGTATCTCTCGATATTCATTGAAATAATCTCTCTTCATCATATTAATGATGAATGTTTTAATGCATTTTCAAAATCCACAAATGTCTTAACAATCGTAGAGCTATATAGACAAAACACTCAGAAAAGGGCGTGTAAAAGTAATAACAAAATATGAAATCGTTAAAACGAGTAATTTTCACTAAATTTGTGCGTTTTTATCAGTTTCTAAGGCATTAACTCGTTAGTTTTTTGTTTTTTAACAAGATTTAAAATAGAATGATATGTTTAATGTTACAAAAAAGTAAAGATATTTAACCTATTTTCGTGGTTGTACAATGCCTACTATAAGGTTTAGTATCGCTCTCTTTGATCTATCAGAAAAGGCGAAAGTTAATCATATGTTTATTTGAGAATTTACTTTATTCAATCAACTTTGTTATCTTTCTTCAGCATTAATTAGTTATTGCGTTTTCTATATTCTCTTATTTAATGTAGAGTAAAATAATAAAAAATCTATGCGAAAAAGCTGAGAATGGGTTTCTTCTTTTGCTATTTTGTTTTGTATTAAATGATGATGTTAATTTCACAGATTTGGATGAAAAATTTTCAAAAATTATCAAAAATATTGATCATATAATACGAAAATAGGGAGCGTTACAGATGTCATGTACAAATAGTGAATAGGGAGAAAAAAAGCGTTTTTTTACGTACGTTATTATTATAATCTCTGTTGATAGTGTTCTTTACATTTCCATTAGCTCAATCTGTTTAAAACTACTTACTATAGGACATAATCTATTTTTGAATACTTTTCAACTCCTCATATCGTCATTTTGAGAAGACAGCTTTTTTAATTGCAAACAGATTCACTTGTGCTTCTGCACAAGTCTTCTATTAGCAATGTGTAAGCGAAATGAACTGCTGAAGCAACATGCTGTCTTTCTTCAGCCATGACTTGACAAGATCTGTGTCTTTTTTTTTATAGAGAAGAATGAGGCTACTTTTCTATAGGTGACGTTGGTGAAACAGTAAAGTACACTGGACCTTATATAATGTAATCATGTCTATTCTCTGTTTTTCTAGATTCTTGATTACAGAATTCAAAGCGCTTATTCACATGGTATCAAATAGCACCATTAGTAACAGTCCTTCATTTATCACTGAACTGCAAGTTGTATCGCGTTATCTGAGCCAGTCATCCGGATTTTTCTTCTTCGTCACTGGCATTCTCGGTAATTTTCTCAACGTAATCACCTTCTTCTCTATAGGTCACTACAAGCATAATCCTTGTTCACTCTATATGCTCGTCAAAGCCGTACTTGATCTAAGTGCTCTAATCGTTGGACTCGACACACGTATTCTGGCTGCAGGCTTTCAGATCGATTGGGCTCTCATCAATCGACCGTGGTGTAAATTACGACGGTGCTGGATTACCGCGAACAATATTATTTCATTCAGTCTACTCGCTGTGCAGTCAATTGACACTTTTATTTGCTCCTCTTCATCGGCCTCTCTACGTCAAAAAAGCAACATCAGATGTGCACGCTGTATCGTGGTTGGAATTCTTACCTTTGGCTTTCTTCATTCGTTGCCCTTCTTTTTCTACCAAGATCTTATAGTGACAGCTACGGGAGCTAGCACATGTAACACAATGAATGCGGCCTATAACCAATATCAACTTTATTTTATCAATCTTTGCCTTTATGTCGTCATTCCAGTTTCAGTGATATCCGTCTTCGGTTTGCTCACCTACTACAATATACACTCGATCAACGTACAACAACGGCGTACTCTCTCCATTCTCGTTCGACAAATGATTCGAATGTCACTGTACAATATCGTCATTGTCATTATATTCGTAACCCCTTATGGAATCATTCAATTATACGGTCTTCTCACGACTGGTTTCGCTAAGACCACCTCTCGTATTGCTCAAGAACAAGTAGCGTCTACCTTTTCTACCATTTACTTTTATGGTGCTTTTTCCGTGAGTTAGGTTTAACACTTATTCATACACACACATGTCTTGTTTTTTGCATTTTGTTAGAGTTCATTCTATTGTTACTGTGCATCCTCGAAACGATTCCGCGAACAAGTTTGGTCGACGTTGATTAATTTGCCAACGAACATTAGAGCAAAACGAAACCAAGTCTATCCATTTTCTTTCAATAGTACCCGTTTTCCAATTGTTGAACAGAAAACAACAAAGGTTTGAAGACAATCGATGAACAAAACACAGTCGGTGATCTATCGTTTGATGGTGTAGTTAGAATTCCAGTGTTGTAGTTGTTTGTCTTCACGCGTTACTTGTACTTCTATACACCGTTTCTTTATATCTAAGAAACCGAAATGTCTTCCCAGGTTTAAAATCTACGATCGTATACGACCGTGTACAAAAAAAATACGACGAATAACGATGGCCGTACACGATGATTGTATACGACGGCCGTATACGATGCAGTACGACTATATACGATTGCCGTAAACGACCACTGAATACGACCATCGTAAACGACGCTCGTATACGATCGTATTTTGATCGTGTACGTTTCTCGTATATAGCAAGATAGCTTGATATTGTGATATATGTGTCACTTCTTGTTACAAACTATTTATTTGTTTTATCTTTTCCACTTTACATGATCTTCATGCAATACGCTTCCAAATTATTAACAATGAACTGGTTAGACTCTTCCCATGTCGTCTATTTTTTATGGAAACCGCCGGTTACTGGTGGTTTGCATAAAAACTGCCGGTTAACCGATGGTCCAAACCCAAACCGACAGTTAACCGCAGTTAACCCAAGGTTTTGTTCAGTTACTTGTAGTAATTATAATTTATAAAAACAATTGACCGTAAATGTATTCATAACACCGAAAGTGCATCAGTTACCATAAAAAGATTTATTGGATATTTTCTTTCAATATACGCACCGCTTCTGTAGTTAACAGATATTATATTCAGTGCTTAACATAGAGTTTCATTCCATTCTTTCATTATTTGGGTAGGTTATTGATGTACATATTAATCCTATATCCTATTTGCGCCTACGATATATGTTATCGGATGCACCCAGCGCACGCATCAACTAGTCTACGTTTTATTGAGTCTTTTTATTGTACTTACGAGGAAACATTCCCAAGTGTCAAGTTGCTTTTGAGTTGCGAGTATGAGCATAAGGTAGGCCCCAGTGAGATGTGAAAAATCCAAAAATGATAGGCGCCCTTAGGTCTTCTGTCCAGAGTTATAGGCATTTTACCGAAATTGTAGCCTCTAGCATAGTAAATACCAATAAATCGAATGGTGGTATTTCGACCTAAGATTTTGCCCACAGATAAGTCTAGTTGTGAGTAGGATACCCTGAAAATTTCAGCCCAAAAGAATGTTTCCTTCTCGAGATATTAAAGTTCCAAAAATCACTCATATATCACGGAAGATGCTAAAATTTTCTGTTTTTTGAGACTTTAATATTTCTGGAAGGAAACATTCTTTTGAGCTGAAATTTTCAGGGTATCCTACTCACAACTAGACCTATCTGTGGGCAAAATCTTAGGTCGAAATACCACTATTCGATTTATTGGTATTTATAATGCTAGAAGCTAAAATTTCAGTAAAATGCCTATAACTCTGGACAGAAGACCTAAGGGCACCTATTATTTTGAGGTTTTTCATATCTTACTGGGGTCTACCTTATGTTCTTACTCTCGACTCAAAAGCGATTTGACACTTGGGAATGTTCCCTCGTTAGATTCTGCCCAGTCGACGTGTTAGCAGTGTTCTTCGAACTATTGAGAAAATTGTACATTGATTTAACTATTTTCGCTTCCGTATAAGCCATTAATATTCAGTTCTAGCTTGATTTTTCAATCTGTCTTTTTTCAGTTTTGCACCAAAAGACACCAATCCAAAGCCTTTCATTAATCGTCATAACTGATACTCAAAGCATTAAACAGAACTATTTTTTTATTTAGGTTCGATCCAACAGCTTTTCGAAATGTGATTATCACATTAAAATATAAATTATTTTTTTTTTTTATTTAAGTTCCATTCAACAACTTATCAAAATGTAGGTATCAATTTAAAATATAAATGATTATTTTTTTTATGTAGGTTCGATTCAATAATGTATCAAAATGTAAGTATGAATTTAAAATATAAATTTTTCTTTCTTTTTTATTTAGGTTCAATTCGACAATTTACCGAAACGTAAGTATCAATTTAAAATATAAATGATTATTTTTTATTTAGATGCGATTCAACAATCTATTGAAATGTAAGTATGAATTTAAAATATAAATTATTATTTGTTTTTTATTTAGGTTCGATTCAACAATTTATCAAAATGTAAGTATGAATTTAAAATATAAATTATTATTTGTCTTTTATTTAGGTTCAATTCAACAATTTATCGAAATGTAAGTATCAAATTAAAATATAAACTACTTTTTTTATTTATGTGCGATTCAACAGCTGATCGAAATGTAAGTGTGAATTTAAAGTATAAATTATTATTTGTTTCTCATTTAGGTTCAATTCAACAATTTATTGAAATGTAAGTATCAAATTAAAATATAAACTATTTTTTTTATTTATGTGCGATTCAACAGCTGATCGAAATGTAAGTATGAATTTAAAGTATAAATTATTATTTGTTTCTCATTTAGGTTCAATTCAACAATTTATTGAAATGTAAGTATCAAATTAAAACATAAATTATTAGTTTTTTTATTTAGATGCGATTCAACAACTGATCGAAATGTAAATATAAATCTAAAATATCAATTATTATTTGTTTTCTGTTTAGGTTCGATTCAACAATTTATTAAAATGTAAGTATGAATTTAAAATATAAATTTTTCTTTCTTTTTTTTATTTAGGTTCAATTCGACAATTTATCGAAACGTAAGTATCAATTTAAAATATAAATGATTATTTTTTTATTTAGGTGAGATTCAACAATCTATTGAAATGTAAGTATGAATTTAAAATATAAATTGTTATTTGTTTCTCATTTAGGTTTGATTCAACAATTTATTAAAATGTAAGTATCAAATTAAAATATAAATGATTGTTTTTTTTATTTAGTCCGACTCAACAACTGATCGAAATGTAAGTATGAATTTAAAATATAAATTATTATTTTTGTTTTTTATTTAGGTTCGATTGAACAGCTTCTCCGAATGTAAATATCAATGCGTTAAAAATTAAATGATGTACATTTGGGGTTGCCCAGTCTGGCCGGATACCCCATTGATATTTTTTTTCTATGATAAGGATATAACATACTATTGTTCGGACCATATGAGAGAGGATCATAGATAACCTCTAGATTGGCCCGAACAATACTATGTTTTATCCTTGCAATAGTAGAGAAAAGTTACGAGCTCACAAATCAGCTGGCAGCGTTTCTCTACTGTTGTAAGGATAAAACATGGTAGTGTTCGGGCGAATCTAGAGGTTATCTATGATCCGAACAATAGTATGTTTTATCCTTACAATAGAAAAAAAGTATCAATGGGGTATCCGGCCCGGTCAGACTGGGCAAGCCAATTTTTATACAAATAGCTTGTAGCCATTGTAGTTGGAGGGGTAGGTGAGAAAGAGGGGGGGGGGGTACGAAAAGGTGCCGTGGAATACGATCGTTTACGACTGTCGTAATCCTCGTCCTGGGGTCCTGTCTCATTTAGAAATATCAATGAATGAATGAATGCATGTCAGCACGTTTGTTATAGGTTGAAATGGTCTACCATGCACTTTGAGTACTCAAAAAAATTAATGCATATGAAGTTTATTGACATGACAGTTCGTCTGCCTAAACAAACATGTCATTTTGAGCTATTTTGTGATTGGTTGATCTGTTGCTACTTTAGACGCTTTAAAGTGGTAACGGATGACCGATTTTAGA